GATGTTTCTATTTAAGCATGTGCTGAAATCACTCAGCAAATTGTTTTCTTTCTCCACCAAAAATCTAAGGTTTCCACAAAAGGTCTCACTAAGTTCTGCTCACTTTTCAAAAGTATTCTTCCTAGTGTCTTCACCCTGTCTCCATCAGTAGTAACATTTATTTAGTGCTTACCATACTGAGTCCTCAACCAAAACTGGGCTGTTTAATCTTCACATCAACCCTTGTGTAACTATCAACATTAGTTTCCTAAGTCTACAAATGAAGAAGCTGAGAAACAGAGAGGTCAGAAACAGACAAGCAACTTGTCTAAGGACATACAGCCAGCAAATGGCAGAACTGGGATGTGAACCCAAGCAGCCTGCCCACAGAGCCTGGCTTCTTCATCGTGGTAGCATCCTGATTCCACATCATTGCTTTAAGAGACCACTAGAAACACCTTATATAGTTTATACTCACAAACACCCTCTCAGAAATCTCTCTCCAAGGAATCAGCACAGTGGAATAAGTTGAGCAGGGAATGGGGTGCCTTTGTTTCTCCTGAGAAGCAGGATGCCAGTGCCAAAATGCCTGTCTGTCTCCTACCCTGGGGCTTCCCTTTGTTACATGGCTGTCTCTTCTACCAATCACCTCCCCCAGGACAAGAACTGGGCATGTTGTGTTCTGCCCTTCAACCTCCAAAGCATAGCTCTCAATACAGGATTGACATGTTTTATTGGAAACGTCAAGTAGAAGAAAAATAAGAGAAGATGGTAAAAAAGAAAAAAATATTTAAAAAGTTGTATTTTTTTTCTTTTAAAATCCAACAATGGATTTTCTGGGGGAAGGACAAGGCAGAGAAGGGGTGCAAGTGCACAGTCCAAGAGCTGTGCATGTCAGTAGGTGGTGTGGCCTTAGTCTTGGGGATATATCACTGAGGAAAGTCAGAAAGTGACCACTCTTCTGGCTGTGGCCATGGGGTGTCCAGCATCAGGAAGGCCAACCGAATGGGCCCGACTGAAGCCCATTTAAACCCCAGTTCTGCCACTTGCTGCCTGTGCAACCTGAGGTCCCAGTGGGCAGCAGAAGGTCTTTATCTCTCTGGAGAGACTGCTGAAGGCAGGGGCTGTGATGGACTGATCCTGGAAAACAGGGATCCCAAGTTCAGGATGCAGCTGTCCTATGTCACAGGCAAACACATTCCAGTGGCTGCATACACTGATGTGATAACTACCAAGTTCCAGGAAGCATGGCACTGGTCTTACCCACCCCATAACCCTACAGCACTGGGGTAAGTGACTCCCCGGCAAGTACGCTCAACCGCCAAAACAGCAGCCAAGTCCTTCCTGTGTTTTATTTCTACATCCAAAGCTCCCATCTGTGAAACAAACACAAACAGCACCACTGAGAAGATGCGCACTGTGCAGCAGAGATGGAGTGGGGACAAGTCTCCTCGCTCCATCTGGCACATCCTGCCAGGAGAAGCCACAGCTCCCATGCACTTGCCCTTTGCTAATCCTGAGGAGAGGCCTCCTGCCTGCCTCTCCAGGAGGGGGTGAGGCCCAGCAGAGGGCATCCAGCACATAGCACCTCTCACCAGAGGGGGCACTGTGCCTCAGCACCTCAGGAACAGTAGCCCTGCCCACAACTTAAGGCAGCTCCATTTTGTTAATGAGGCAAGTGCCATGGTATTAAATCTGTCTCCATGACACAAACAGCTTGATCTAAAAAAGAAAGTATTCAGCTATCTGTAATCCTAGCTATTTGGGAAACTGAGATTGTGAGGATTATGGTTTAGAGGCCAGCCTGGGCAAATAGTTCATGAGACCCCCCCCCCACCCATCTCAACCAATAGCCGGGCATGGTATAATATACACCTGTCACCCCAGCTACAATGGAAGTATAAAGTACGAAGATCACAGTCCAGGCTGACCTGGGCAAAAAGTGACCCTATCTCCAAAATAACCAGAGCAAAAAGGGCTGGAGGCATTGCTCAAGCAGTAGAGGGCCTGCCTAGCAAGTATGAGGCCCTGAGTAAATTCCCAGTACCACCAAAAAAGGAAAAGAAAATATTCAACCAATCCAATTGCTTTGAGTTATGCATATGGATTTTTCTGAACTGCATTTTTTGGTCTCCATTTATATATGGCTGCCTGATTGCTAAAATATAACCAGATTTGATAAAGAAAAACAGCAAAGAGGGTTCTGGCTGGAGCTTACCTTCTCCAAGTAAGCCAATTCTACACATGGTTTGTTTGCCAGCATAAAGACATACAGACAACTGGGTACAAGCTAAGGAACGCATGCCTGGGAATAAACTAGCTGCAAGGGAATGCTGTTTGCTGACAGGTGTTTTTTATCAGTTAAGATTTGGAGGAAGCAGATTTTAAAACTTTTGCTTCTTCTGCTATCTCTCCTTGCATGTCTAATTGGCATTTCAAATACTGACATGTCCACATCTGGGCTTTGACAATATCGTACCCAAGCTCTTCCTCTTGCAGTCTTCCCTGTCTATCAGTGATTGTGAAATTCCCTCATTGTTTAGGCAACAAAGTCAAGCATCATCCTTGTCTTCTCACATCCCACTTTCAATCTACCATAGTCTAGATGGGTCTACTCTCAGAACATCTCCAGAATCTGAGACCTCTACTGTACCTCTGCTGCATCCTAGCCTCTTCACAACCACCTGGAAGACAGTGCTGGCCTCTGTGAGGGCCACACTCTTCCCTGCTGCCACTCTCATCTCAACAAAATCCACAGAGGGAGCCTTTCAAAATGCGAAGTCAGATCACACACCCCCTCCTACTCTAATCTCTTCAGTGACTCCTGTGGCTCCCCAGTCAAAGTCAAGTCCTCCCAAAACTGCAAAGCCCTATATTCCCTGGATTCCTTTCTCAGGAACCCCTGTTCCCTCCCTTTCAGCAACACCTGCCTCTGTCCCAGGAACGCAGGCATTCTCCTACCCCAAGGCCTTCAGGCCTGCTGTTCTACCTACATGGCTCTCCCCCTAGATTTTCTCATGGCTCACTTCTGACTTCCAGTTTTTACTCAAATGCTACCTTCTCAATGACACCTTTCCTGGTCCCTTAATCGAAAAGACTTCTTGGACCTCCAATACTACACCATGTCTGTGATTTCTTTCTTTCCTTCTTGGTACTCATCACTAACACATTTTATGTTGTACTTGTTTATCTTGTCTCCCCTGACGAGAACATAAGCTCTCTGGAGCCTCAGAGGTTCACCTGTTTGATGCTAGGGCCAAGGCAGGAAATGGTGCCAAGGACACAGTGGGAGCTCAGTACTGAATAATGAAAGTGGGGCAGATTAGTGCTTTTAAGTCACACATCTATTTTGGATGAATCCAACTAGCACAGAAAAATTAACAAACAAAAAATGATTTGGATGGATGACTGATACAAATCAGAGACTATGACAAAAGCCACTGAAATTCCATTTTTTATAATGGCCAAATCTTCCATTGAGAACTAAAATATGAAAAAAAATTCATGTTACGTTAAATATGAGAAATACATTATTAAGCATATTGAAGAATTAGAACTTCAATATGAGGTAAGCTCAACACAAAAAGCTGCTTTTGTCCTGAGGGCATTCGCTGACCTAAAGAAATAGCTAGAAACTTTATTGCATTTTCAGGCTACTCTAAGAGCTTGGGGGACCAAAATCAAAGCCAAGGGTCTTCCAAAGAAGCAGACTATGATGCACTATATCCACTTTAAGCTGGGACCACCTCCCCGACCCCCCACCCTGCCAAAGGCCTACCATCTGAGGATAAGGATGATCTAGAAGAGACCAGACCTGGCTTCTCATCTCCTGGGGATTTTGGAGAGCCACAAGTCTCCAACTGTTAAAAGTGTTCTCAGGCTAATAGGGCCCCCAAGTCCTGACAGGATCTAACAGTCCTCTCTGGAGAAAGATACTGTCATCCTGGACTGCAACTGACTCAAAGGCACTGACCCACACAGAGATAATGCAACACACAGGGAAACAAGATGTGAGGGGTGAGAACCAGCAGAAACAAAAGATACCAAACAGACTTCCAAACCTTAAGACACTGGAATGTCAGGCACAGACTATTATGCAACCAAGCTTACTGCACTCAAAGAACTAAAAGACAAGCTTGAACCTTTCAGTGGAGAAGCAGATAGCATTCAGAATGATTTCATAGATAGACAAATTATAAAGGGCTGGTGGAACGGCTCGGGTGGTAGAGTATCTGCCTAGCAAGTGTGAGGCCCTAAGTTCAAACCCCAGTATCTCCAAAAAAAAAAAAAAAAAAGAAAAAGAAGAAGAAGAAATAAACAAATTGTAAATCAAATGCTATTGAACATGTGGAATATTTATGGTGGGCAGGGAATTGAACTTGGGGGAACACTGTGACTCTTTCATCTTCCAATGAAGATATAGGGAACTAGGAAACCTTCAAAATGGTTTGACTATTTACTTTACATGTTTATTAACTAGCATGAAAGCAGCTTGCCACAGAAATATAGATTCCTAAGTCCCAAGAGAAGCAGGGTAAAAAGCAAGTCTGTATAAGAGACTTTGTAAAATGAGAAAAGAATAGAACCAACATCCAGTTTCATCCTCTCCATACGCACAAACATGGAGATATAATCTTTATATAGGTTTCTGACAAAGCTCCCAATTCAGGCCCAACTCTGATAAAAGAACCACCACACTGCTTCCAGGAGTCTGGGTTTTAAATCTATTGGTGAGAACAGGAAAACTCCATTATCTCTTAAAGGTTCTGTTTGCTTCCTATCCTATCAAGGATTTTCAACTCAAGTGATGCTAGAAATAACCATCATCCCTGCACCAAACAGCTGTGTCACATCCCGTCCCCTCCCCTTCTCCCCGCCTTCAGCCTCCCAGCTCTGGCTGCTATCTTTACACCACAGAGCACACAAGAGAAAAACAATTAGTCATCCCAGGGTTTGACCACTTTCCCCACCAGTCATGCTATTCAAAAGCCAAACATGGCAGAAGATAAGCGGGCACCTACAGGTCTGAAGGACTTGAAGACTTTTTCCAAGACCTCATGGAGCGTCTTCTTGCCGCAGGAAGAGATGTAATCCTGTGCTAGCTGCAAGAAAGGCAGGCAGTCCTCACTCTCGCTCCACACGTGCTGTGTGCCCATACCAGGGCAAGGAGAAAACAAAGACACACAAGTCATTACCCTTGGTGTGGACAAAGAAACCATGCAGACTTTTAAAAAAAAGTTAATTTGAAGACAAGAGAGGGGGATCAGAAAATGTCAAATCCACCAAACCCCCTAGCTTTTAGTTCCTGGTCTCACCTGTTCTGTTTATTCACCATCTGCTCCTAGGTTCACTACCTGTGAGGGCAGTGGGGTGAGCTGGCTAACAGTGGTTTTAAAATAAGAGGGAGGAGAAATCAGAGCCTTTGCCTTCAACCTCCTTAATTTTGCCTTCAGCAATGGCTGAAGGATTAATTAAACAGAGTTTATAACCATGAATTTGGAACAAAATGTTCTTGATGTGGACCAGCCTGTGACGTGGGGGTGGCTGTGAACTTACTTAGAAATGAAGTGAACTGAGGAGAACATACAAAGTCGAACAGGGCTTGCTAAAAGCTTTCCTGTACCTTGCTTTAAAGGGCATCCCACCCAAGATTTCTAAGCAATGTGAAAATGTGGAGATTAACTTTAGGTTTTATTTTGTTCCTAAGGCTGGGTAAGGTTTTCTCTATGTGAGGATATATGTTTTAGCACATTTTTTAGGCTGGGTGAGCCATTCCATAATGTTCAAGGTTCTAAAACAAGCCCAAGAAACAGGCTTTGAGAAGTCTGGATGGAGAAAACTCAGCTCTGTATATCTGACCAGGCAGGGACATGGGCTCCCAGGGTAGCAGGATATATATCAAGTCCCAAGGATCTTTTTTGAGAGCACCGCAACTCAAAAAGTCTCTGAAGACAGTGCAATCATGGTGTTGGGGCCTGGGAAAGGGGAAGGTGTTGGGCAGGGACTAGGCAATGAAAGACAAGATCTATTTGGAGAATTAGTCCATGTCAAGTGCACACTTGCCCTCTTCTAGCCATATACCATTAAGGCATCACCCTAGGAAGTTCTATGCCTGCCACTCAATGAACACATTTCTTCACCTTCCTTCTCAATGCAGGATGTCCAAGAACTAGGTCTACAGACTCAAAATATGGCACGCATCCAAATGAGGGTAACTAGGTGCTAATGTGCCATCTTCACACTGCAATTATCTGTGCTTCATAGTTGGAAAGTCCATTTCCAACCCCGCTTCTCTAAGTCCAGCAGACTTGTCCAGAGCTTCCTCCTTGACCTCATAAACCCGACGGCTCGGTTCTCCAGCTTTAGAGAACAGCTCGAACACTGTTCGCTCTTAATTAGAGACTCTTAAAACTGTGGAGCCATTGAAATGTCATTTGTGTAATAGTCTCTTACATCGTACAAAAGTCTAATAGTGCAAAGAATAGTGCACTACTCTTTCTTTTGATTCTAATCAAAGGAGATTCGGCAAGAACAACAAAGTCCTACTTCAATAAATTCTGCTCAGGGTTTATTTCCACACACACATTTGTAAAGCTGTGGCTTATTTCAAATGGTTATCTAAGTTAAAGGTGGATTAACATCTAGCACCACACAATTTGAAGCCTGCAGTCCTAGACCTAGCGTGAAGATGAGAGGCAGTGGGATTTTAAGGCTTACTAACTGCTTGGCAGTGTGACAGGGTGGCACTATATCCAGTAAGTGGTGGACACAGGCCCCTTCTTACCCCTTTTTTGTCTGCAGGATGGGTGGGGGGTAGCAAATTGGGCTTTCTACCTGCCACGGGCTATGGTGACTTCATTGAGAATGCTCTCCGAGACAACCTGGGCGGAAGTTAATTCAGAAGCAGGTGGATCTATGAAAAACTTGTATGCTTCCTTTTTTTTTTTAAGTGCATTTGGGCTTTAAATTACAAAGTAAACAGAAGTGTATCATTTAAACCATAACAGAATCACAGCGTATCCACCACCTCCTGGTGGTTAGATGGGTCATTAGTTAGATGTTTCTAGGCCTCTCTGACCTAATGAAGAGATTGTTCAGGCCTCAATTTCCATGACTCCACTTTCAGAGCTGTTCATTTATAAATGTGTATTGGAGAAGACTTCAACCCCACAAAAGAGCCTGCGGCCTAAACTCCCTTCATTTGTCTGTCTACCTCCACCTGGGTTCCCAATTTTATTGGGTTTTTAGTTTAAAAAAAAACATTTTAGCTGACTGTCTATCCACAAGATAAAGTGAGAGACCTGGGGCCTGGGGTCAGACAGACCCAGGTGGACATGGCTACTACTCTTTTATATTCATTGTATGTCAAAACAAAAAGTATTTCATTTCATTTAAACAGCTCCTTTCCAAAATTAATCAAGACAGCTGACAGAGTCAGAATATAAAACAAGAGAACCTGAAAAATAAGTCTGTATCTGGGGATGGGGAGAGGAGGACAAAGAGAAAATAATGGAAGGAAAAGAGATAAAAGCAAGAGTGAGAAGAACATAAACAGAACAAGGTATAAAAGCCTGGCCACTTGCTACAGATGGGACACTGATTGGAGCAAAAGTCTTCTCAGCAGCCCATGCAAACAAAGAAGCACTGCATTGTGGCCGTGTCTCTGTAAAACACACTGGCTCTTGGGGAACACCAACAGGCAAGGGGCTGAGGGCAGAATGGCTAGGAAATAGAGGGGCCCTTTCTAAAGCCAAGGGCAGCAGAGAGAATGTCTGGGGTACGGTTGATGCTCTTGAAAACGAGATTTAGGGTCTAATCCCCTACAAAGACAAATGAGTGATTGAAACTCCAGAGTTCTGGGCCTCAAGGAGTGGCTCACAGTAACTTCAACTGGGAAAATATTCCAAGCATGTATAACCATACACCCACTTTGGCAAGGAAAAAACTGCAGCAGGAATCAGAGAACATGTGGCCTCGTACAATGCCATGTCATGACCAACGTGACTCTAGGTACAGCATGTATTGACCTTCTGATAGGGTGGTGATGGCAGGAGACGCAGGAGAGGATTTGGGAAGTGGAGGAGAGCCCAGTTCTCCAGTTTTAGCTGTGCAGGAATCACCAGAGGCTTATTACAACACAGATTACCAGGCCGATCCCCAGGCCTTCTGATTTGGGGTGTGTGTGTGTTGAGAATTTGATTTCCAACAGATTAAGTGGTGCTCACCCTGTGAGTGATGGGGACACACTTTGAGAACCACAAGTTGAACAGCACTTTGGCTAACTCCATATTAGGGGATGGCATTGCATTAAAAAACCTTTCTGGAAGAACTCAAGCAACACCATTACTAACTACGACGAACTCCAATTCTCTCATGGGTGGGGAGTGCAGTGAAGTGGCCTGCTCTTTCCTACAGGAAATGCCTATTATCTGAGTGCAGGCAATCTGTGGCCCGTCTCTCTGTTCAGTTGGGCTAGAGTTTATTATAAAAGCTCAACCTGCTCACCAACATAACCATGCCACCTATAAGAGGAAGTGAGTATCTTTCTGCTTTCTTAGTGTGGACGAGAGCATCTCATTCATCAAGGCACAGTACTAGATCATTATGGTAAGCCAATCCCACAAAAATCTTTTGGGGCACAAGCTGTATGTTCCTACTGTTCAAGTCTCTGTGGGCATCCCTCTGGACTTCCTGTGTTATGCTGGTGGAACTGGTGGGTATTAAGAACACAGCCTTGTCTCTTCTCTCTGGACACACTTATCTGACTCAGAGCCCTTGCTACAGACCTCTCTGTCACTGAGGTAAACTCAGCATTCTGTATTCACAGGCTCTTCATCTCTGGATTCAACCTCCCTGAAATCTATGGATTCAATCTCCCTGAGATTTTGGGGGAAAATGCATCTGTACTGAACATATACAAACTTTCTTTTTATCATTATTCCTTAAACAATGTAGCATAACACCTACCTACATAACATTTAAAGTATCTAGGAGGGCATGCACAGGTTATATGCAAATATGCCATTTTCTGTAAGGGACTTGAACATCCTTAAGGGCATTTCTTCTTCCCTGAAATAACCTCTCTACATAGATGCTGCCCAGTCACTGTGGAGTGCCTCAGTCTACCAAGCACATTCACATACACCACTCCTCACACATCCTCATGGTAAAAATGTAACAGGGGTATGATTAGCCCCATTTGAAAAATAAGGAAACTGAGGGGGCAGACTTTAAATGAAAGTGATTTCTCACTTACATAAGTTGTATTTTCTTTCTCCAAAATGAAAAGGTTATTTGATGAGCTAGTTATGAATAAAAACAATGATTAGGCCACAAATGAGGAAAATATACGTATATACACATACAAACCCACACGTATAAAATCAAATCATATAGTCTCTCCATAGTCTTTTTCGTAAAAAATGACAATTTTATCTTTGTTTTAAGAAAGAATTAAACTATACAAGGGATGGTATAGAAGAGATGGCCTGAGAAGTGAGAAGAGGAGGGTGTGCAAGAGATCCAGGAGCTGCCAAGTAAAGAAGACAATCAAAAGAAGTCCTTTTCCTGGGCCTGTCGAGCTACTGGCCCGATTCTACTTGTGGTCCACAATGCATGGTGAGGGCACAGGCCTCTGGGCTTGGGACTGAGTCCTGGATGAGTCCCTTACGCTCATAAACCTCAGTTTCGTCACCTACAGAATGGGACAATCTGGGCATTGTAATACTTGTAATCCCAGCACTCAGGAGGATGGGGAGTTTGATGACAGCCTGGGCTACACAGTGAGACCTTGCTTCAACACACACACATTGATAGAAAGATAGAGATAATAAAGCCTACTCAGAATTTTCTTGAGGCCCAACAAGAAGTCACCCTTAAACCTTGTCTGGATTGGGTGCCCTGTTGTCATTCATACGATGCTTTGTGCTCAATATGGGGCTAGGTTCAAGTTGCTTTACTTATTAACTGTGGGAAAAACAGTATATCTTGCTGCAACCTCAGTCTCCTCATCTGTAAAGTAGGAATCATTACAGAGAATACCTCGTGCAATTACTAAGCCTCAGTGAGTTCATGAATGCGAGGTGCCTTGTCTGCTACATAGTGAACTGGGCATAAGTGGTAGTTCCTCAAAGCTGCTTTGAAATTTAGCACCTGTCTTCCACACTAGACTATCATTCATTCATTCTTACAAACAGGCATTGAGCACCTATCACTTATCTGACACTGTTCTGAGGTACTGGGACACAGTGATGAAGAAGACAGACATGATGTCTGCTCCCATGGAGCTTATAGTTTAGTGGACAAGGCAGGAAATTAAAGAGAATATCCTAACAAGTGCTATAATGAAAGGATGAGAAAAGCTGAGGCCAGGAAGACCTCTCCCAGGCCCCTGCTCCTCCCAATAACACTACTTTACTGATTTTAATTACAGTTAACCTTTACTTACATGTATTAATAGCTTAGCTGCTAGTCACAAGTACCCCATGAAAACCCCATTTTACAGGTGAGAAAACGGAGGCTCTAAAGTCTGGGGAACACACCAGGTCTCTGAATCCCAAATCTGTTGGTCCCTTGCTATCATCAGAGACAGTGTTGTATCTACAGGATGACCAGGACGCTTGCATTCAACTCATTTTGTGGCTACTCAGGGGAAGGCATTTGACCACAAACGGCCAGAACTCAAATCTGGCTGTCACCCAAAGCCATCCCTCTTCTGGAGTGTGGCATGGTCAGGCCAAGGTGGTTTCCCCTCAGCGGGGTGGGAAGAGGGGATGGAGGAGTGGAAGGGGTATGCTTTATCGGTCATTAAAAACCTTCACCTCTCCTGGTTGTACCTCTAACTCCTCCGCGAACTTCCCAGGGGTGGCTGGGGCGTGAGGCCCAGCTTTGCCTCATTTCCACCTGAGGAGCCTGCGCCAGGCCGCGCCCCGCCACCTCCATCCGCAGGGGCCACAGCAGCGCCAGCTCCACTCTGGCCAGCGATCACACGGTAACCCACGTCCACAGCCGCCTCCATCTTACATTTGGGGACCATTATTTATTTATTCCCTGTGATTACGAACACTTCATGGAGCGCTCTCCGCACCTTCCACCGTAACTCCCCTGCCCTCTGCATCCCCTTCCTAAATTGTGCGCGCCGAGATCCCAAGCGGGCGCGGGATGCAAAGCGGAAGGTTTGGACACCGCAGCTCCGGGTCTCGGTCCCTTTGAGCCAGGGCTCGGGGGGGTTCCCCCTATTCTGTAAGAGCCAAAGGGCTTCAGCAGGGGCACAGCCGCCTCCTGGCCGGACCGACCGAACCCTTCTGGGCCACACGCAGCTCGCTGGAAGCTCAAAGAGGGGCAATGGAAGCACGGGGAAAAGGAGGATAGGCGTGCCCCTCTCTCTCTCTCTCTCTCTCTCTCTCTCTCTCTCTCTCTCTCTCTCTCTCTCTCTCTCTGTGTGTGTGTGTGTGTGTGTGTGTGTGTGTGTGCTGGGATGTGTGCGCACGCGCGCGTGCGTTTTTAAGATCAAGGGTGTAATTCCGCAAGGAAGGTCCAGGAGATCGGGCATCGCTAGTGTGGACAGAGGCTTTGTGTCCAAACAGGCAGCGCAGGGAACAACATCGAGAGGAGTGGGAGCTCTCCCGGGCGGGGCAATTCGAGGAGTTGTGTCTGCGCACAGCAGGGGAACGGGATTCCTCCCCAGACGGGACGCCCGGGTGTGGGAAGCTCCGGACTTGGCTGGCCGGTTAGCGTCCTTAAAACTGCGGCGGCGGTGGGGAAAAGGGTGGACTCCGAAGGACGCCACACCTCCCGCCCCAGCCCTGCTCCCTGGATCTAAGGGCGCCCTGCCCGCTGCCCACCCAGCCCTACCACGGGTGCTGGCACCGCGGAGCCCGGCCGGGGGCCTGGCAGACGGAGCGAGAGCAGCGGGGTGCGCGACGGCTGCGGGTTACCCCTCCACCTGGCGCCCACCGCCTCCCCACCGCGCGGGAGCTGGGGCGCTGGATCGCGGCCGCTGTGCCACACTCCCGCCCGCTCCGACAGTCCTTCCCCGATGCACTCACAAAATTGTCCCCGCAGCCGTTGTCCGGACACAGCACGTAGAAGGAGACGCCGGGGTCGGCGTAGAAATCCATCCTGCGCTCGGTCTCCTCGGTGGCGATGAGCTCGAAAGGCGTGTTGGAGCACCATTTCTCCGCAACATCGGCCAGCTGCTGGAAATCCATCGTGGCGCACCGCGCCCGCCGTCGCCGCTCCCTCCGCCTCGGCGCTCGCCGCGCGCCGCCCGCGCCGCTCCCCCGCCTCCCGCCGCCGCGCCCTCCTCGCTCCTCCGCAGCCTCCTCCCGGGCTAGGCGGGCGGCGCAGCGCGGCGCGGCTCCCGGGCGGCGGCGGCGGCGGTGGCGGTGGCGGCGGGCCGGACAGTCGGGCACCCTCCGGGTCCTGGCTCGCGCCGGCGGGGACTGTTTACATGCGGGGTCTAACGGGGGCGGGCGGCGGCCGGGGACGGCGCGGCGCCGCGCCCGCGGCTCCTCCTCTGCCCCGCCTCCCCCCGCCCCTCTGGGGCCGCCCGCAAGGACGGCGCGGCCGGCCGGGTCGCGGGGTGGTGCGCTGGAGCCCCCGGCAGCGGCTCCGCAGGCTCTGGATCTTCTCCTTCGTCTCCCCCTCCCCTCCAACCCCACCCCTTTATTTTGAAACGCACCGGGAGCATCCCAGGGCCCCCGCCAGCCCAGGGCCGCCCCGGCCCGTGACGTCATGGCTCCCAGCCAATCCCGTGCGCCTGGGACCGCGCGGCGGCCCGCGAGTCCGGTGACGTCACAGCGCGGGCCCGGCATTCGCGGCTGGGCAGGTTAAGGGAAAGCCGGGTCTGCACTAGCACCCAGTAGCATTTGTGCGGAGTTCAAGAACCTGGGAAGCCTTATCCCCAAGATCTGCAGAGAACTTGGACCGTGTGTGAGGCTAGTAGAGGAGCAGCTGAGAAAATCTAAGGGAAACGGAGCTTTTGGTTTTTAGTGGCAGAAACCAAAATAATGCCTTCGGATTAATGTGAAGAAATGTCTCCCGTTAGTGGGTTTACCAGACACTGATATGTATGAATGTGCTATTAAAAAGGATTAGGTAAAGCTGAGTGTGTCTTAGAAATAAGCCTGATAAGACTAGCTTTAATATTATTCAGCTTGAATTCGAATTGTATGACCTAAAATGTCCAACAGCTGGTATGAAAGAAAGTACTTTTTTTTTTTTTTGCGGTGGTGGGAGACTGAACTCAGGGCCTTGCAGGCGCTCTACCACTTAGCCATAACCCCAGGCCCCTGAGAAAGTACATTTTAAAACAAGTGTACACGGACCAACGATTACACCTGATGAAGGCTCGCTGGCTGCCGGTCCTGGACAGGCAATATTGCATTGCAGACAATGCATTAAACAGAGACTTTGTCCCCAAGACTTGAATGACTACAAGCAGAGACACATTAAATAACAATCATTCTATAAACATGCAATCAGCGTTTATCTTTAAAGCGTGTCTTCTGGACCAGGGACCATGGTCTGGAGCTATAAATATCAGTAGTATGGGCCTCCACATGAGCTGAGAATTGGCACAGGGATGCTCATGAGCACCATGAACAGAGAAATAAATGTAATTCTGGATAGTTGTCTGCTTTGCACATCCCTGGGGTAAGAATTCTCTTTCCCTTAAGGCTCCTTCTTAGTAATTGTATTCCCAGCTGAAAGTGGAGACTCCACTTTTCTTTAGATTAAGACAGAAGAACAGTGATCAGCCCAAAGGCCACCACCACAATGCACCTTTTCTGATCTTGTTTGTTTTTCCTTTTTGGTGGTTACTGGGGTTTGAATTCAGGGCTTCATACTTGCTAGACAGGTGTTCTACCACTTGAGCCACACCTCCAGCTCCATCTTTTCTGAAATTTTTCCTTTGGGAGCTGTCCTTACATAGAAATTCACACCTGTGGAACAATTTCCTGACCTCACCTGTCTTTGTTTAAAACAATTTAGTTCACTGAACATGTATGGAACCTCTGCTGGGCACCAAAGATACACAAGGTCCAGTTTTGTCATCAAGGAGCTTATGGACTAAATCAGGCAGGATCCTTTTTCCCTCTGGTATACACACATGTCCACCCAATCATTCAATCAAGCTGCTTGAGTGATTTTGCAGATGTAATTAAGGTCCCAAATCAATTAACCTTAAAATAGGAAGATTACCCTTGGTGGACCTGGCCTAATGAGGTAAGCCCTTAAAAGAGACCAATTTGACCAATCAAATCCACCTGGTAAAGACTTTCCTTTTATATACGTCAAAGAAACAGAAATACTCATTTATGGCTTATTTCTTCAAAATTCACTCACACACTACAATATTCTATATTGTTCCATCATTCCTTCCCTTGACCTTATTTTCAATTACAATAGTTTATCATTCCTCCATTTTACACCTTTGATTATCTTCCTTCATTGAAGTATAACACAGCAACTTCCTTTTCAGCACTAAGAGACTAACACACTTGAAGGTGGCAAAACTGTGCTTTAAACATTCTTCTCTATCTTCCAACTGTAATCATAGTTCTGCCTGTGTTTTATATATGTCTGCTGAAGCTTATTACGACCATACTATGTGAGTTCCCTCTAGAGAGACTCCCAAGAGCATCACCCCAGAGCTCCTGTGAGCGTGTGGGGATTCGTCTAGGAAAATGAGTGTATCTTGGTGATTTGCTAGCCAAAACTGCTGTCATTCTGTCAGCCGACTTCTATCTTATGACATGTCTACCCAGGTGACAGCACAACACATGGCTCAGTGTGCTACCATGATGGGACAGTTAGTGACAGAGGGCAACTTGGATCTGTGACATGATTGGAAAGCTTGGTGTGAGACTTCAGATCATGACTTTACACTAATTAACAGTGTAACCTGGAAACCCGTTATTTCCTCATCTGTAAAAGTGGGTATATATCTAGGACCCTGTGGTAAGGATTTAAGATAAGAAATGTGAGTGTGTGAATGTATTTTTGTTTAATAGGGGAAAGGTATAAAAATCTACAAGGAGTTTTTAAAATGTAAGAAATTTGAATGTGTACCTAGGTCCTTATAACAGGGGCAATATGTACAGAGGTATTGATTAATTTGAGATTTCATTAAATCAAGTATGCATGTTAAAATTTGAAGGTGTGTTAATTAGACATTACATTAGCTTTTAATAGGATTTTTTAAAAAGTGATTAAATAAGGTGGAAGTTTATCTTTGTTTCACATGAAAGCAAACTAGAAGTGGAAGCTCAGGACACATTTATCTAGTTCTTTTTTCTTTTTTATGTTTTTCACTTGGCAGTACTGGGATTTGAACTTGGGACCTTAAGCTTTCTAGGCAGGTACTCTACCATTGAGCCACATCCCAAGCCCAGATTTGGCTAGTTCTTGATCATTAGAGTTCAGGCCGTTCTTTCTGTGAGATTTAATGTGAGTCTGAACCCACAGATGAGAACACAGACTGTCAGACAGGATAAATCACATGACACTCATCTCTGCTATTTACAAGAGACTCACAAATTATAACAGAGGAGGCATGGAAGGAAAGGAGTGAGAACCAGCAGAGGGCAAATCCCTATTGAGAGATAAAATAATGACACTTAGACAAATGCAAAATGAAACATTAGAAATTTTATTTAACTCTTTGGTTAATGAGGGAACCTGTAAGATGGTATAAGGGAGAATTCAGAGTACTGAACTTTTATAATTGAATCAGAAATGGTGAAATGGATGCGGAAATAGATGCAAATTTGGTTAAAATCCACAGGCATAATTGATTGCATTTCAGTGGACACAATTTTTACTTGCATTTGCATCAGATTTCTGTAAAACAGCTCAAAGATAATGAAAGGCACAAATTCTAGAAGCAGAACATTCAGAAGCGTGAGCTATGGAAAGTAACCTTTTGTTCTATTTCATAGTCTCATAATTTCCCCTATGTCTCCTCTCCTTTTATGATCATAGCAATTAATCTCTCTCTCTCTCTCTCTCTCTCCCTCTCTTTCTGGTACTGGGGCTCACACTTGCAAGACAGGAGCTCTACCACTTGAACTACTCCACCAGCGCTTTTCTGTGTTGAATATTTTCCAGATAGAGTCTTGCAAACTATTTGTCCCAGCTGGCTTGAAACCTTGATCCTCATGAATATCTAGGATTACAGGCTTGAGCCACCAGTGCCCAGCTGATTATAACAATCACAAAGAAAGATTCTTCTCCTCCTCCTCCTCCTTCTTCTTCTCCACCTCCTCTCCCTCCCCCTCCCCTTCCTCCTCCTCTTCTCCTTCTTCCTTTTTGTGGTATTGGGCTCAAATCTAGGGCATTATACATTCTAGGCAAATACTCTATCATACCCCATCCCCAAAGAAGGATTATTCTTAACCTGGACTTGCAAAATTCAGGTCCATATAGTATTGGCCAACTACAAAATTAACTTTGGTCTAAAATTTTTTATAAGGAACCCTATGGAAAATTTTTTTTTAAAGATTTGCTATCTTGTGGCTAAGAAATTCTTACTATCATATTTCACCTATAATATCTACAAATTTGAGTGGTAGGTGTGGTGGTGCAAGCCTATAATCCTAGCTACTCAATTTGAGGTCAACCTGGGCAAAATATTTGCAAGACCCCATCTCTACTAATAGCTATGGGTGGCAGTGTGCACCTGTCATCCCAGCTATGTGGGAAGTGTAAACAGGAAGAGCATGTTCCAGGCCATCCCAGGTACAAACATAAGACCCTATCACAAAAATAACCAAAGCAAAAAGGGCTGTTGGCATGGCTCAAGTGGCAGACTGCCTGCCTAGTAAGTGCAAGGCCCTGAGTTCAACCCCAAGTGCTGAAAAAAAAGATAAATTTCTTTTTTCATAAAGTGTTCCAAATTTCTTAAGTTTCCTGGGCCTGACAGGGAGTAGCATTTCTCTTCTCACATGAGGCTGGGATTCCACAAGTCAGACACCAGTGCTTTCCTAGGAAGGTGTGGTAAGCATTGGTTTACAAAGTACAACTCAGTCCATTTTAGTTTCTTCAAGGTGACTGATTAAGTCTGATGAAATCAGCATTATTTTCAAAAATAACACTGCAGATAAGGCACTGCTTGCACAATTGATTAATTCAAATACATCTAAATACTAGCAAAAGAATGAAAAAATTACTAACAAGTCAAAAGGGACAACATAAAAGCAAAGCTCAAAATAGAAACTTGGGGGAAAAAGAAGGCAGGGGAATATGATTCCTCAAAAAGCTTATAATCACACAATAGAGGATTTGATAAAAAGTGAAAGGGATGAATCCTCATTTGCTGAGGTCAGAAGAATGAGGATAAAAACTTAAAGGGGAGATAAAAAGGACACAAAAACAACTCAATGAATCTCAAGAGAACACAGTTAAGAAATTCGAGAAGACACAGAAACAACTAAATGAACTCAAAAAGGATTTCAACAAACTCTGAAATGAAACCAAGGAAATTATAAAAAACAAAAAAAATAAATGAAATAAAGAAGACAGTACAAGATATGAAAGAGGAGCTTAACAAAGATATGAAAAGCCAAAAAAAAAAAAAAAAAAAAAAAAAAAAAGCAAATAGAAACCCTGGAAACAAAAAGTT